CCCACTTTACCGCAGCTGTGTGGACAGCCATCTTGCAGTCTAGTACAAAACCCTGCTATGGGAGAGAAACAAGATGGAAAAAGCCAGGGTCCTGGACACGTGGAGCTGCCATACCTGCCCCGGACTGCTTGTGCCTCTACTTTGATGTGATAGGACAGAGAAACATCTATCATGTTTGTTGTTGCTAGGTGCCCTCGAGTCGGTTCCAACTCATAGCAACCCTATGTACAACAGAACGAAATACTGCCTGGTCCTGCGCCATCCTCACAATTGTAATGTTTGAGCCCATTGTTGCAGCCACTGTGTCAATCCATCTTGTTGAGGGTCTTCCTCTTTTTCGCTGACCCTGTACTTTACCAAGCATGATGTCCTTCTCCAGGGACAGGTCCCTCCTGATAACATGTCCCGAGTATGTGAGACGAAGTCTCACCATCCTTGCTAATGAGCATTCTGGTTGTATTTCTTCTAAGGCAGATTTGTTCATTCTTCTGGCAGTTCATGGTATATTCAATATTCTTCACCAACACCATAATTCAAAGTCATCAATTATTCTTTGGTCTTCCTTATTCATTGTCCAGCTTTCCCACGCATATGAGGCAATTGAAAATACCATAGCTTAGGTCAGGCGCACCTTAGTCCTCAAAGTGACATCTTTGCTTTTTAACACTTTAAAAAGGTCTTTTGCAGTAGATTTACCCAATACAATACATCTTTTGATTTCTTGACTGCTGCTTCCATGGGCATTGATTGTGGACCCAAGCAAAACGAAATCCTTGACAACTTCAATATTTTCTCCATTTATCATGATGTTGCTTATTGGTCCAGTTGTGAGGATTTTTGTTCTCTTTATGTTGAGATTGAGGTGCAATCCATACTGAAGGCTGTAGTCTTTGATCTTCATCAGTAAGTGCTTCAAGTCCTCTTCAATTTAATTAAGCAAGGTTGTGTCATCTGCATATTGCAGGTTGATAATGAGTCTTCCTCCAATCCTGAAGCAGCGTTCTTCTCATATAGTCCAGCTTCTTGGATTATTTACTCAGCATACAGATTGAATAAGCATGGTGAAAGGATACAACCCTGACACACAGCTTTCCTGATTTTAAACCACACAGTATCCCCTTGTTAGAATGACTGCCTCTTGGTCTAAGTACAGTTTCCACATGAGCACAATTAAGTGTTCTGGAATCCTCATTCTTCACAATGTTATCCATAATTTGTTATAAGCCACACAGTCGAATGCCTTCGCATAGTCAATAAAACACAGGTAAACATCTTCCTGGTATTCTCTGCTTCAAAGATCCACCTGACATCAGCAATGGTATCCTTTGTTTCATGTCCTCTTCTGAATCTGGCTTGAATTTCTGGAAGTTCCCTGTTGATGTATAGCTGCATGTGTTTTTGAATTACCTTTAGCAAAATTTACTTGTGTGTGATATTAATGACACTGTTCAATAATTTCTACATTCTTCCACCGTGTTTAAGCCACTGTTATTTTGGGTCTTTATTACAATGGACTTATATCTTGGCGAATATATCCAGCCCCAAAGGGAAGTCTTTTGAGAAATCTCTGGGAAAGGTTTTCGTCCATAATAAAAAGACATACAAGAAGAGGAAACACGTGGCCTTGTCTTGCTGGATGGCATCATGTCTGTGTAACTCCTAAAGCTGCACCAGCAATCTTGCCAACAAAGTAGGAAAATGTAAGGAATTTAACGACATTGTGGAACTGCTCGATTAACTGGCCCTGAAATTACTTCCCTTTGGACTTCTTGTCTTGAAAGATAATAAATTTTCCTTATTGTTTAAGCCATCTTTGGTCAGGCAGTCTTACTTGCAGCCCAAAGCATTACAGCTCATGCATCCCGTGTTTGCTCAAGCTGTTCCCTCTGCCTAGAGTGACCTTCCCCTTCCTTCCATTTGCCTTTCAAGGCTCAGCTTGAATACCATGGGCATGGTGAATGGCTCCTGATTCTGCCTTTCCCAAACAAGTTGTTTTGCCGTATATCAGAGTTCTTTGACTATATGTCTTTCTTTCTAACCAGACCAGGGTCAGCATATGCACTGCATATCTGCTGCCATTCCCCGCCCTCCTGCCCGGTGGCTGGCATTGATAATCCATCACTTTTTCCTGCTGGGAGTAGATCTGATCTTATAATCCTCCACACAGTACTCCATGCAGTCCCTGCTAATCAACTGGAGGTGGCTCGAAAGAGATGAATCCTATTTGCTACAACTGTCCTGTCTTTGAGAGCAGGCTCTTTGTTTTACTCTTCTCTTTTCTCATTCTAATTTTGATAATAAACATTATCATTGTGTGCTTCTGTTCCCACTTAATCCCTGCAGCAGCCTTCTGAGGCAGGCACCATCATTATCCTGTTTTTGACATATGAGGACTCTGAGGCTCTGAGAGATGAGGTAACTGCTTCAAGGTCATACACATTCGAACCTAGGTCCACCTGACTCCAGCCACTTCCACTGACAGTTTATTAAGCACTTCATTTGTTCATGGGCACTACAGGGAAGACAGAGATAGAGATTTCTGTTTCTAATGGCATTCGGAAAATATATTGTCCTATTTGAGATTACCAGCAGTTTAGTGATGTTGGAGTTAGTCCAGGAATAATGTAAATTCCCATTTTACAGATGAGGAAACTGAGGTCCAGAGAAAGGAAAAGTCCGAGCAAGAGAGCATCTTTCATGCCTTGCTGCTACTCTGAGGGGGAGAATTCTAGACTTGCTGAAGGGGTTAAGTGGGAATGTTGATGCCTGGAACAGAATCAAGGAACTGGGTCACACATCCCGGCCTCCTCCTGCTGGCCCTGCAGGCTGAGTGACCTCCCTCCCTGCTGCTAGGAAGTGACAGGCAGGATGTAGGGGAGCCGGAGGGAGTGGCTGTCTGAGCTAGCACTAAGCAGCCTGGGTCATTTCCCGTTGGAAGGAGTGAGAGAGGGAGAGAGGGAAGGCAGTGGCGGGAGCTCTGAACCTCCGACAGGTACTGACCTGGCACACCGATGCTTCCAAAATCACTTTTAAAGCACTCCAATGCATTGGTCCCTGGACTTTACAATTTATAACCCCTCCCTCATCCCTGGCCTTGTGTCTTCTTTCCACACCTCTGACAAGCAGGGCAGGGCTTTGGGGATTATTGTTCCCATTGAAAAGATGAGGAAGCTGAGACCCAGAGAGTCTACAATAAGTCACCTGCCCCGGGTCATACAGCAAATTCGCCCCCCGAGCTTGGGCCTCAGAACCCAGGAGTCATGACTGAGGTGTGCATCGGTTAATCAGGCCCTGTCCAGCTGTCTGGGGCAGAGTGGGGCAGAGTGCACAGTCCCTAGAGGTAAGCAACACTAGGCCTTAGATCTGGACCAGCCAGAATTCCCAAATCCCCCTCTGATTCACTGTGACCCCCTTGGGCCAGGCTCTGCAATTGAGCCTCCATTTTAAAAATCTGTTTAATAGGGATAACAGTGGTACCTCAACTTTGCGAGGAATTAGTGAGATGAAATGTATACTTAGTACAGAGCCACAAAGGGGGCCTTTCCTCCCTAATATTCTCCCAAGAGATGATAAAATAGGCGAGGATCCATGGACACACAGATAGGTAAATAAATCAAAAAAACCAAACCTGTTGCAGTGGAGTTGATTCCGACTCACAGCCACCCTATAGGACAGAGTAGAACTGCCCCATAGGATTTCCAAGGAGCAACTGGTGGATTCGAACTGCCAACCTTTTGATCAGCAGCTGAGCTCTTAACCACTGTACCAACAGGGCTCCAGTTCATCTTTACTGAATACTTAATAAGTGCCCAAGGAGTCCCATTCACAGATGGCACAAATGGTTAAGTGCTGGACTACTAATTGAAAGGCTGGTGGTTCAAACCCACCCAGAGGCACCTTAGAAGTAAGGCCTGGTGTTCTGCATCTGCAAGGTCACAGCCCTGAACACCCTATGGAACACAGTTCTACTTTGCACACATGGGGTCGCCATGAGTTGGAATCGACTCAACAACAACCAACAATGACAAATAAGTGCTCACTTAGTAAGTGCGCTCTCTCCTAAGTACATTTAATCCTTACAATGTCACTATGAGGTCAACCTAGTATTATGTCCATTTTATAGATGAGGAAACTGAGGCATGAGAGGTTAAGGCCCTTGTCCAAGGTCACATCTTAGTAAGTGGCAAAGGCAGGATTTAAACCCAGGCAGCCTGTCTCCAAAGCCCACACATACTGTCTTCCTTGATACCCATTGCTGTCGAGTCGATCCCAACTCATAGCGACCCTATAGGACAGAGTAGAACTGCCCCATAGAGTTTCCAAGAGGTGGCTGGTGGATTTGAACTGCCAACCTTTTGGTTAGCAGTTGTAGCTCTTAACCACTGTGCTGCTAAGCCTCCTCTTCCTTAATAGTAATTATTAATTTTAAAAAATCATAACTTACTTGGACCCAGTACTCTAGAGTTTATGAAGCAATTTCCCTCATGCTAGTTCACGTATTTCTCACCACAGCAGCCCAGGGAGGGTGACAATGTTTATTCACAATATGTACGGAAAGGGGAAACTGAGGCTCTGAGAGGGGGCACCGACTTGCCTTGTCAAGGTCACACAGAGAAGTCATTGGCAGAAGTAGGGCTGGAACTTAGGGTTTTCTGACTCTGAATTCTCAGCCCCCGTTGGGAAGACCCTTCCTCAGCCCCTACCCCAAGCCCCAAGCCTCCTCAGCAGCCATGCCTCTGACTGGAGGCCTCGGAGAGTTCTCTGCTGGTCAGTTGCTCTGCCTGGGCTTCCACCCTTCAGCTGTAGGGTCCCTAGGTTGTGGCCTCCATTACCACTCGCCCCCCACGAGGCCTCTGCTGCTATCAGACGGGAAGGGCAGGAACTCCCGGCCAGCAAGCCTGGTGGAGTTTCCGACCAGGCAGGAAAAAGAACAAAGGAACTGTTTGAGGGGGGAGACAGGATGGTCAGGAGGGTGGCAGGAGTAGAGACGACTCTTCGCCATGGAATATGAAGTCAAGAAAGGCAAGAAGGTAGGTGGAGGTTGGGAGGGATGTAGGGTAGAGAACCGTCCCCGAAAGGAGACAGGGGAGAAGCCTGGGGGAGAGGGCGAATGGCATAAGTGGGACCTTTCTTTTTACTTGAAAGGACCTTCCTCCCCACCCTTGGGCAGCCAGACACGCAGGCTCCAAACTCTGAGCCTGTTTCCCTGCTGTCAGTTGCTTCTGCCATCCCTAGAATGGACAGATGGAAATTTATTCAGGGACCTTCCCCAGAAATTCGCCCAGGCAGAGTTGGTCTGGGAGATACTCCAAAACTGCCCCCTTGGCGAGCCTGGTGGTCCCTCCTGCAGCTTCTCAGACAGAGGAATGGAGAGCCAGCCAGCAGACCCATTCCCCTGTCCCCTCCTCCCCAGAGAGAAGGATCCCCGCCATGGCAGTTCTGTGCTCTGAGGCTGCCCATCCAGGCTTGAGCCCCCAACCTGCTCCCCTGCTGTGTTTCACCATACCGGTGCCCCTCTCCATCTTTATGAGCGCTCCAGTCCTAGGGCCTCAGCCTGGGGGCCACCCTCCCCATCCTCACCCTTTCCTGGCTCTGAGGGGCTTCTGGTCTGGGTCTCTGGGGTCATGTCTGGTCCTAGGTGGGCATCTCACCTTGTTGTCTTTGGGGTTCAAGGGGCTATCAGATTATGATTCCCAACCCTATTCCCACAGGGTCCTCCTCCCCCAGGGAACCTAGGCAGGGCTGTTCTAAAGACTCCCACGTGAATCATGAAGGGCTAAGAAGGGCGCCAAGACACCCCTGCATGTTCTCTCTTGGTTCATTCCTTCCATAGGTATTTCTTGAGCACCTGCTATGTGCCAGGCATGATGCCCAGGGCTGTTGATGATGCAGTGGTGAGTGAGCAAAGTCAGGCAGGGGCCCTGATCCCTCCCTTGGAGCTCGCAATCTAGTGGTGGAGACAACTACTAATTTTTTTAAAAAAGCAATTAATGTAGAATAGCAGAAAAGGCTCCATACACAGTGCTGGGAGATAGAATATTAGGGACCCAGCCCTGGACCAGTCAGTTTGAGCTGAGATTTGAAGGGTGGAAGGAAAGGGGATAAGGAAGAGTATTTCAGGTAGAGGAATAGCATATGCAAGAGCCCCTGATGGGAGAGAACATAGAAGGAGGAAGGACTGAAAGAGCTCCATGTAGCTGGCCAGAGTGAGAGGGAGTGTGGGGTAAGACGAGGCTGGAGAGGTGGGCAGGGCTGGACTGTTCAGGGTCACGGACAAAACATTTTCCCCTCTCCCCCCACACATACACACACACTCACATAACACAGGATAAAGTCGCAGCCCCATAGCTGGCATTCAAGGCCTCCATGACTTGTCCATCACATCGACCAGCTACAACAGATAGCACAAGACTTCTCCAGACTCATCCTCATCTGGCCTTTGAAAATCAAAAAAACCAAACCAGTTGCTGTTGAGTCAATTCCCACTCATGATGAGTCCATGTGTTGCAGAGTAGAACTGGGCTCCATAGGCACTATGGCTGATTTTTCGGGAGTAGATCACCCGACCTTTCTTCCAAGGTGCCTCTGGGTGGGTTTGAACCGCCAACTTTTTGGTTAGCATCCGAGCACATTAACTGTTTGCACTACTCAGGGACTCCCTTCCAGCCTTTGAAGCCCCCAGGATCTTTTTTCTTTTCTTCATCTTCTTTTTTTTTGGTGAAAATATACACTGCAAAACCCGCTCCCATAAAACAATTTGCGTGTTAACTGTTTAATGAGAAATTAATCTGCTCTCTAAACTTCAACCTAAATCGCAATAAAAAAAAAAACTGGCTCCCATTCCAGTCTCTAGACATAATGATCAGTGACATCCAGATTGTGTCAACATCCTCCCTATTTCTGTTCTAGTTGTTTCATTTCAGCCTCCAGGATTTTGCACCTGCTGGGCCCTCTGCATGGAATGCCCCTTTCCAAGGAGTTTGTCTCTCATTTCGTGGAGCTTCCACATACTCTATCCAGGCTCCATTACATTGTTTCTAAAACATGAGCTATGCGAGCATCATAATCACCTGGAGGGCTTGTTAAACCACAGATTGTTGGGCCCCATACAGAGTTTCTGATCCAGTAGGTCTAGGATTGGCCTGAGAATTTGCTTTTCTAATAAGTCCCCAGGTGATGCTGCTGGTGGTGGGGCCACACTTTGAGAACCACTGGTTTAGATCCTGGCTACTCAAAGTGTGCTAAGCAGCATCATCTGGAAGCTTGTTAGAAAGGCAGAGTCTCAGGCCCCACCCAGACCTGCTGAATCAGAACTCTTGAGCACAGCAGAGTTTGAGACTCACTAGTTTTGGTCATTTATCTCAATGCACCCATGCCCCCACCCCAAGCCCAGGAGTCCAGTTCTCCACTAAATCCCCAGCACCCAGCACAGGGTTGGCTTGCAAGTATGAGTGAATGTTTACTGAACGAATGAATGAGTGAATGAATACACCCATTTGTGGACTAGTTTATTGTCTGTTTACCTGCCCAAGCATGTGAGCTCCCTGAGGACAGGAAATTGTCCTGTTCATGCTTGTCTTGTTGCAGGAGTTAGCCAATCACACTCACAACACGTATTACCCAATGGTTTCCATCTGAGCTGCCTGTTGAACTCACCTGAGGAGACTTAAAAAATCCTAATGCCTGGAGCCCATCCCTAGAGGTTTTGATTCAATTGGTCTAGGGTGTAGCCTGGGCATCTGAAGTTTTACAAGCTCTCTGGGCAGCTCTAAAGTACAGTCAAGGTTGGGAGCACCTGCTCGGAAGGGTAGTTGTCACACTTAAGTGGGCATCAGAATCACCAGGAGGGCATGTTGAAACCTGATTGCTGGGCGCTGCTCCCAGAATTTCTGATTCAATTTGTCAGGGCTATGATGGTTTGAACTCAGCAAGCAGCTCCGCAGGAGAAAAGACCTGGCAATCTGTTCCCATAAAGATTACCATTAACCCGTTGCCATCCAGTCAATTCCAACTCATAGCTACCCTACAGGACAGAGTAGAACTGCCACACAGGGTTTCCAAAGAGCACCTGGTGGATTTGAACTGCAATCTTTTGGTTAGCAGCCAAGCTCTTAACCACTGTGCCACCAGGGCTCAAAAAAAACCCACTGCCGTCAAGTCGATTCTGACTCATAGCGACCCCATAGGGTTCCAAGGCTGTAAAACTCTATGGAAGCAGACTGCCACATCTTTCTGCCGCGGAGCCACTGGTGGTTTAGAACCATCGTCCTTTCGGGTTAGCAGTCAATCACTTTAACCACAGCACCACTAGGGCTCCAGTACACCAAACCCATTGCCGTCGAGTCGATTCCAACTCATAGCGACTCTATAGGACAGAGCAGAACTGCCCCATAGGGTTTCCAAGGCTGTATAATCTTTATGGAAGCAGACTGCCACATCTTTCTTCCTCGGAGGGGCTGGTGGGTTCATACTGACAACTTTTCAGTTAGCATTTGAGCGCTTTAACCTCTGCACCGCCGGGGATCCTCCATAAAGATTACAGCCCAGAAAATCATATGGGACAGTTCTACTCTGTTACACAGGGTTGCTATGAGCTGGAATGACTCTACAGCACCCAACAACAAATGACTGAAGAATCTGCATTTCTTTCAAGTCCCCAGGTGGTGCTGCTGCTGACCCAGGGACCCAGGGGCAGCTTATCCAATCAGCAAGGTAAGCCCAGGTTTACCCGTGTTTACTTACTAATCTGTAATGAACAATTTCACAGGGGTTTCACCACACCACATCAAAGCGAAACCCCTGTGAAATTGTTCACCACAAATTAGTAAATAAGCACAAGTAAGCCCGTGCTTACCTTGCTGATTGAATAATCCGCCCCGGTAGGGACCACACTTTGAGAACTGCTGCTCTAGAGGAGTGCTCAGACTTTCCTGGACCTTTGAGGTTTACATTCTTTTGGTCTCGGCTGGGGGCCTGGGATCTGCACTTTTAATCTAGCACCAGGTCACTTTTACTCAGCTGTCCCCTGGATGATACTTAAATTAACTTTCAGGAAAGTAGAGAGAATAGCCTAACAAATACCTATGCACCAGTCATCCAGCCACATGGAACCCTAACATTTTTTGGAACCTGCCAGAGTCCAGCCCATCCCTTAAACTGGGGCCTAGGCCCTGGCAGGGGTTATACCCTCACTTGAATGTTCAGAATGTAGGTTTTGGAGCCAGACTGCCCAGGTGGACTCGTGGTTCCACCACTACTAGCTGGTGACCTGACTACTGGATGGTGTCCTTGTCTGTAAAATAGAGATCACAGAGGTACACGTGCCGCAGAGTTTTTGTGAGAATTAGGCAACATAAATGAAATGCTGAGCACAGTAAGTGCTCATGAGAGTTAGTTGCTGCTGTGGCTGTTACTTCCTCTGTTTTTTTCCAGGGCTTTGTGGCCCCAATCCGCAGGCTGGTGTTCCCCAAAGCCGCACGCCGGGCAGCCTGCCGAAGCAGTGTGAGCCGCCGGCCACTGCACTCGATGCCCCTGTATCCCCCAGACTATCTCATTGACCCCCAGATTCTGCTGTGTGACTACCTGGAGAAAGAGGTCAAGGTGCGTGCGGGTTGGGCGAAACAATTTCAAGTGAGGGGAAGCCTCATCTCCCCTACTCACCAACCCCTGACCAGGGAAAGCTGTGGCCTGTGGCTCATGGAAAGAGGCCTGTATTCAAGTCAGTCTTGCCTCCGCCTTATGCTGTGCTTCCTCAGCAAGTGACCGCCACATGCTGAGACTCAGTGCTCCCATTTCAACACGGGGCTCTAAACCCACCCTCCAAGGGAGAGGGAATGGGACGTGTTCTGTGCACTGAAAAATCCTACCTTCCGGTGAGATTTGACTGCAGTGATGTTGTTACTCGGGCAATGTCCAGGTTAAAGGAACCCAGTTCAGCCAGCCACAAAGGACCTTAATAATTCAAGGGTATTACTTCTATTTTGTGAACACCATGAAGGAGCAGTGGGGGATCCTCATTTAGACAAGGAAGATTGGTATTGGGGCAGGGTTGCCAGATTTAGCAAATAACAGGCCATCCAGTTAAATTTTAATTTCAGATAAACAATGAGTTGTTTTTGTTTTTTTTTTTTTCAGTATGTCCCAAATATTGCTGGGACTAAAAATATGAAAAGAGTATTTGTTGTTTATCTGAAATTCAAATTTAGCTGGGCATCTTGTGTTTTATCTGGCCATCCTATGTGGGGGTGGGAAAGCTAATTTAAAATGAATCTGCTTAAAAATTGGGGACCGACATTTCACAGAGAATAAAAGAGAAAGGCTCTGATTGGTGGAATTTCCCCCGAAGAATAAATCTAATGAAAAAAGTTAATTGTTACATCAAATAATATTTAAATTATAACTGCAATGATCAGTTAACTCTAGGAATGAATAAGTTATTGACTTTTTGGCATACTTTTTCTGACAAAATTATATACTAATTGGATACAACATTCTTCCCTCTGCATTTGACTTTTGCAGCAAGATCATAAAGAGGGCAAGTGATTTGCACAGTCAGTTGATACTGGTGCTGGGGGTGGAGATCGAGCCACTGATGTGAAATTCACACGTGGTCCATTCTTTCATGCTGTTATAGTGACTTTTGCTTCCCTATGGAACTCACAGCTGCCAAGACCAAATAACTATGTCCCAAGGCAATATAGGAGTCCCTAGGTGGTAGAAAAGGAGCCCTGGTGGAACAGTGGTTATACAGCTCGGCTGCTAACCAAAAGGTCAGCGGCTCGGCGATTCGAACCCACCAGCCACTCCATGGAAGAAAGATGTGGCAGTCGGCTTCTGTAAAGATTTACAGCCTTGGAAACCCCCACGGGGCAGTTCTACTTTGTCCTATAGGGTCGCTATGAGTCGGAATCCACTCAATGGCAGTGGGTTTGGTTTTGGTTACCAAAAAAAACCCAAACCCGTTGCTATCTTAGGTGGTGCAAATGATTAGTGTGCTTGACTGCTAATGGAAAGGTTGTTTGAGTCCTCCCAGAGACACCTCAGAAGAAAGACCTGGTAATCTACTTCTGAAAAATCAGCCACTGAAAACCCTATGGAACACAGTTCTACTCTGACACACATGGGGTCATCAGGAGTTGGAACCGACTCAACAACTACTGGTTTTAAGGCAATATAACCAAGCACTTGAGAGTGTGGGCCCTAAAGTGTGGGTGACTGACCTGGGAGTCCAGGTCTCCCCCTTTGTAACTGTACAATCTTATACTTAGCTTCTCTGTGCCTGGGTTTCCTTTTTTTTTAATTTTTATTTTTTATTGTCCTTCAGGTGAAGGCTTACAGAATAGTTTCTCATGAAACAGTAGTACACATATTGTTTTATGACATTGGTTAACAACCCCACAACCTGTCAACCCTCTCTCCCTTCTCAACTTTTTTTTCTTGTTGAATCTGTGCCTGGTTTTCTGATCCTTAAAGAGAAGATGAACAAGTGATGTAAAATGCTAAGAACTGTACTTGGCTTCTTGGAGCCTTGGTGGCATAGTGGTTAAGAGCTATGGCTGCTAACCAAAAAGTTGGCAGTTCGAATGCACCAGCTGCTCCTTGGAAGCCCTATGGGGTAGCTCTACCCTGTCCTATAGGGTCGCTATGAGGAGGAATCCACTTGAGGACAATGGGTTTGGTTGTTTTTTTGTTTGTTTGTTTTGGTGCTTGGCTTCTAGAAAGGAAATCAATAAAAGTTATCAACGGTAATTATTATTAAGTCAGATATTCCTATTTCAGTCTACCCACACTGTGTCCTTGAGGAAGCCAGGGTCCTCCAAGGCTTCAGGGTGACCTCTCTCTCCTCCTCACCCCATTTCCCATGCAGTTCCTGGGCCACCTCACCTGGGTGACCTCCTCACTGAACCCTTCCAGTCGGGACGAGCTCCTGCAGCTGCTGGACACCGCCAGGGTGAGGATCTGGGGAAGCGAGAGGGCAGCCCTCTTCCCCTTCTCCCTCTCCCACGCGGCACCCAGGGGCTCAGGTGATTCGATCCACCCCACAGCAACTGAAGGAGCTGCCGCTGAAGACCACGGCGGAACAGGACAGCATCCTGAGCCTATCGGCTCGCTGCCTGCTGCTCACCTGGCGCGACAACGAGGAGCTCATCCTGCGTATCCCCACGCACGAGATCGCTGCCGCCTCCTACCTACAGGACGACGCGCTGCACCTGCTTGTGCTTAAGACCGGTACAGCGTGCGGGGCCTGGCCGGGGCAGGGCCCGACGCGTCGGTAGGACTTGGGAATGGACGGGACCTGGGGCAGCAGCCGGGCCTGAGGCTGAATGAGGGAGTTCCTGGAAAGGGCTGACCACACTACCCCGAGACTAGGGGTGGGCAGGGGCCATATACAAGTTGTCGGGACCAGAGGTTGACGACAAAGGGTGACCCACCATCCTGAGCCCAGGTGGCGGAGCCTGGGAAGGATGGACAAGCTGGAATTGGGAGGCCGCTGCAGGGCCGGAAATTAAGAGTTGGGGGAGGAGAAGGTAGGGTCTGAGGCGAGGGTGGGTCTGGGGTGGGTGGAGCGGGTAGGAACTGCCTGGCCACACCATCCTGAGGCCAAGAGGCGGAGCCAAAACTAGGGGTGGGCCTGAGATAAAGAACTTGGAGGGAGGGCCAGGGGAGAGGGGCGGTCTGGCCACACTGCTCTGAGACCTGCGGGTAAAGCCTGAGGCCAGGGGCGGGGCCTAGATTAAAGGCTCAGAGAGGTGCGGCCTGGACGCAACATTCTGAGGCGCGGGGTGTAGGGCTTCAGGCCAGGGGTGAAGCCTGGGGCCGGGGATGGAGCCTGGGGCGGGGCGGGGCCCTAAAGTAAGGACCCAGACTGGGGCGGAGTTGGCCACACAACTTCGAAGACAGAGGTGGAGCCTGAGCCCGGGGACTGAGCCTGGTGCGGCAGGACCCCAGGGCGCGGGGTCAGGTCCCCACCGCCGGCAGCGGGAGGGGGCTGTTAGACCCGATCTCCCACGGCTGACGGCCACCGCGCCTCTCCTAGGTCTAGGCGTGGACCCGGTGCCAGCCGGCGTGGACGCCAGCCCCGGCGGCGCGGGGCGGGACCCAGGGC